CAATTCCTCCTCACGTTCGTTACGCTTCTGAGCGCGCCCGACGAAGAGCTTCTTGCCGTTGATATCAGTCTCATTGAGGGCATCAACAGCCTTCTGAGCCATTTCATGGTCCTCAAAATTGACAAAACCAAATCCTTTGCTCTTGCCTTCCTCGTCGAGCTGAAGAACAGCAGAGGTGATGATGCCAAATGCTTCGAACATCTTTCGGAACTCCTCCTCGCTTGTCTCTGTATCGAGATTCTTCACGTAAATGTTTGTGTACTGAGAGCGGGCTTCTTCGAGTTTAGATTGGCGCTCCTATAAGTAGTTGATGATTAGATAAGGTTGGAGGAATGGTACGACGCTCTTACCTTGCGCGGAATATGAAGCCCGACAAATACTTTCTTGTCGTTAAGCAACATGCCATCCACAGCTTTGATAGCAGCTTCTGCAGCTTCGGCGGTATCGTAGTGGACGAAGCCGTAACCTTTCGAGTTTCCATACTCATCGGTTGCAACTTTGCACGATAAAACATTACCGAACGCGGCGAATGTGTCATGGAGGGCCTGGAGAAAAAATTAAGATCAACTTATTGTCTCTTAGGGAGAAATTGTGCCATACCTTATTATCGATGCCTTCATCCAAATTCTTGATGAAGATATTTCCTTGACCCGTCCTACGAAGGGCTGGATCGCGTTGAGACCACATGATACGACTAATCAAATCTGAGTAAGATGAATCCAGCTGAGCAGAAGAGACCTACCATGGACGACCTTTGATGAGCGAATAGTTGAGCTGCTCTAGAGCCCGTTCGCCTAATGACGCGATAAGAGCGTGTAGATAACGAAAAAAAAGAGTTGAACTCACCATCTGAAGAGTTTAAATAATTAACATAAGCATATCCAAGGGAGCGACGGGTCACCGCATCACGGCAAACACGAATACTTGAGAGGTCATCAGCAAAAGATTAGAAGATGGCAATCAACTAGCATACCTGGCAACCGGGCCAATCATATTAAAGATTTCGAAGAGGATGGCTTCTGTGACAGTAGGATCCAGTTCGCCCACATAGAGAGAGGCAGAGGTCGGCTGAGGCGCTTTGTAAGAAGAGGATGCTGGCGCAGGTTGCGCAACAGGCTTTTCGAGCTGAGCTGATTCTGCGGAAGGCATAACATCTGCGGATGACATGATGGCGTGAAGACGATTCGGAACTTTTTTTTACAAGGTTTGGGGTTTCGTAGGTCGTGAAGATGTATAGGCTTTTCTGATTTTTAAAAACGTAGCGTTAGCTTTCCAAAGGATTTTCACGATTTTTTTGAAACTTTTTTTCGAGTATAGGCTGCAGTGGTCAGGTCCAAAAACAGTGAGCTGACAGGATGGCTCGCGGCTGACCAAAATCCCGGCGCAGCTGGACAAAGGCCAAGGAGGCAGCGTATGGAGACAGTCATTGAAAGAATTACATAGATTATTTACACAAGCGGAAGATCAGCTACGTGAAAAGTAACTTCGAGCGCCATTAGCAGCTAACTCGCCCTTAGCTTTCTCTAGGGTATGCCCAGCTTGATTGTGGTATAACCACGTCTGTATAGATTTATCAGCGTCTTAACACCTAAAACAATGACTAGCCTCACTTTGTGGTAGTAGAATGCGTTCCCAACAGTTTGGATAACCCACCCAACCAATGCGATCACACAGAACACCCCAGCTACTATGTGTCCATGTTTGAATGCAATGATCGTCAGGATAAGGCCGGCTGTTCCAGTTCCCGGGATGCCAATGACCATGTAGATTGAATACAATAGGTGCCATCCACAGAAGAAAAAGTAGATATCTGGGGCGCATTTATTCAATGAGACTGATATCAACGGCAAGAAGCTCTTCGTCGGGCGCGCTCAGAAGCGTAACGAACGTGAGGAGGAATTG